ATTACTACAGCAAGGAAACAGAATGAGTGGAAATGCTGTGGAAACAGCAATTGATTTTTATCTTGCTTCCACAGCGTCATCATATGCAGACAGTCTGACTTGTCTATTGATTTGAGCTGAAGTCAAAGAAGTGAGCTGGATATAAAATTCCCTAATTACTAACCAAAAGTCAGTCAGTCCTTAAAAGGATTTTTTTTTTCTAATGTAAGGGACAGTTTGGAGCTGTATGCCCACATAGAGAGCAGAAAAATTATTTTTACTTTGTTGAGTAACAAACACATTAATGAAACAGGAAAAATCCTGTAAAAGAGTTCCTTTAAGATACACATGCATACCCACTAGAATGGTTAACCATAGAAGCACTAAAAATACCAAGTGATGGAGAGGATGTGGAATACTGGAACTCTCATACATAATGTGGGAATTCTTGGGAAAACAGCTCGACACTTTCTAATAAACTTAAAAATATATTTATCATTTGTCTCAGCAATCTCAGCCTTAGTATTCGCTCAAAAGAAATGAAGGTATATATTAACACAAAGACCTATTCAAAAATATTTATAATAGTTTTATTTATAATAGCCCCAAACAGAAACCAACTCAAGTATCTGTCAAATGATGAACAGTAAGATGAAATGCAACAAAATGCTATGCCATAATAAATAGGATCCAATTAATCATAAACCTTACAGGACTGATGAATCACAAAAGCATGATGTTGAATGAAAGAACCGGAAACAGAAGACTATCTAGGAGAAATTTGGAAGTTTTAAAATATGCAATAAATTCATTAGTTTTTACCCTAAAACTTTACAGGATAAAATTGGACTTTATTTAGAATCTCTTCAACAGGACTACCAGAAATACAATAGACACCAGAGATACAATAATAATATCTCTTGACAGTTGGGAGTTTTAAGTTTTATAAGCACACGTAGCAGATCATTTGTAAAGCAGGAGTCCCTTTTACTGTTTAGCTGCTAATTGTTGATTTTGTTATATTACTATGTCTTATCAGGATAGCGGCCACATGGGTAAGTACCCTTAGAGCTGTCACCCAATGGACTGCATTCCTAATCTCAATTATGCCTGAGACTTGTCCTGCAATGTTATCTCAAGTGAATCACATAATATTCCTTGGAACTTGGGCTCCCAATCTTTATCGTGACTGCAGAGTATTTACCAGGTATTTGATGAGGTGCTACGTTTGTGACAAAATATCACATAGTTCAAACACTACTGATGTTGAGAATAGCAGATTCCATTGTGTTGTAAGACCTTTAGGGTAACTTTGTTTTAATTGTAGGTCATTTTCTGATTCTCATATTGGGAGTTCTTAAATCTTAGCATGCATCACCAATATTCAATGCCAAAAGTCATGTAAATTTTAAGTTGGAGCAATTTTCTATGTTTGAAAAGATGAAGTAAAAATAATAACTAAGTGTAAGGCTTTGAGTGCCAAGAAGGGAAAATTCTCAGCTGCTACTCTGCCTTGCTTTAGGAACCACCATATTTTTTCAGTGTTAACAATCAAGATAATTAATTGTGACCATTTTGTCACACTTTGAGACTGTAATCCTTGATTTTTGGTTAATGATTTTAGCTCCTATAATATATTTTGACTTTTAGGAGCAAAAGAAATAATTTTTGTAATTTTCTCTTTATTTAATTAGAATGATTTTCAAGTTTGTACAAATAGGTTAAGTATAAATTTAAATCATTAAGCAGTTATTGGTGAATAACGTATATATTCCCATTCCAAGAAGTACAATTAAAAAAAGCAGTGAACATCACAGACAAGGTGAGTTGCATGCTGTGATACGTGATCATCCTTGTCCTCAGAGAGTTTGCACAGCTAATGAATGTTAGCCAATAAAATGCTACTCGTCAAGAGATTTTCCTTAGAGTGGAGCTTTTGTAGTTATTCCTCAAATTCAGTTTCGTTTTTCTTATCATGGACTGTATGCTTATGGAAAGGTGTAGCCATGAGTCACTGATTTCGCAATCAAGATGTAGAACATCTCCATTATTCCCAAGTAATTTCTACATACCCCACACAGGATAAGTGGAGGACATTGGTGGTCCATGCTTCAAGCCATCTCATCTAACTTGAGGAGTGTCCAACTCAGCATGGAAGGCAGCAATAGATTCTACAGCCAGTTTATATATGTCTTATAGGGATGGGAAAAGTAGAGTTTACCAGAACCAAGATAAGGGGCTTTACAGATATCGATGTGAGGGCATCACATTTTGGAGGTTATAACCTAAGTGCCATCTCCTCAGAGAAGCTGTCCTGGCCACTCACTAAAAGTATGTCCTTTCTTCCCAGTCACTTTATGTCATATCAACCTCTTATGTTTCCCTCAACACTGAACAGTATTTAAGAGTACCCTGTTTATTTATTTTACTTTTTTTTCTGTATTCTTGCACCAAAATTCAAGTTCTCTGTCTTTTATTAACTGACATCCCAATGCACATCACAGTCTGACAAGAATTAGTTATTCTAAAAACTGAACTGAAGGTGTGGCTCAGGCAGTACTGTTCCTGCTTTGCAAGTATGAAACCTCCAGCCAAAAAAATGAACTGAGTGGAATAAAATATTAAACTTGAGTAAGTTCAATAGATGTTGATAGTAAAGATATGGAGAAATGAGTAAATATTAATCTTTAAAAATAATTTATCTGTTGTAGGGATAAAATGATGTAATCTATATGAATCATAACACAAAGCCAAGGACACAGTGAGAGATCAAAACTGTAGCAGTTACTAGTAATAACACAATGAGGACAAACATTTCATGGTGGCAAATTAGTTCCCCATTGGTGTCATCATTCCAGTAAATTTCTTTTTTCCTTTTATAAAAATTTCTCTTCTTCATTCCAATTTCTTGCAGTTCTCCTCCCATATTTTTCTAGTCATTACCCAAGGATGTTGGGAGTTTGAATCAAAGTCCTAACCCTGAAATCTTCCTTCTTTTGTTTTTATGTATGTCTTAGGTTCTAGAGTTTTTGGAAAAGTTTTAGTTCTGTTTTATCTTCTGAACTGAATGATGTAGTCTTTCTGCATAGCTTGATGGTAGAATGGAAATTTGGACTGATATAACTTGAAAACAATGCATACCCCCTAAAACACCATTTATTTTATTAGATCTGTTTCTTCAAGCAAATACAATAAAAGCCCTTATCACCGGACTTCTTTATCAGCTCACATAAATAACTTCAGCTGTTTTCTTTATCTTGGTTCATTGTACTATAGTGTTCAAATAGAACAGGTGAGCCAGTCTTGGTGGCACACATCTGTAATTCAAGAGCTCCATAACTGAGGCAGGAGGACCAAGAGTTGCAGGCCAATAAGGGCTACATAGTGAGTTACAGGCCAACCTGAAACTCACCATAGTGAAACTCTGTCACAAAAAATCCATTGTATATGCGTGTTACCTTTTTTTTTAATCCATTCATCTGCTGATATTTACTTGGGTTGCTTCCATCTTTGACTACTGTAAATAATGCTGTTATGAACACTGCTGTACAGATACCTCTTTGAGTCCCTGCTTTCAATTATTTTAGGTACAGACTTCAAAGAGAAATTGCTGGATCATATGTTAATTCTTTTTGTTTTTTTTTTCTTTTTCTTTTATTATTCATATGTGCATACAAGGCTTGGTTCATTTCTCCCCCCTGCCCCCACCCCCTCCCTTACCACCCACTCCGCCCCCGCCCTCTCCCCCCCCTCCCCCTCAAACTTTTTGTTTTTCTTGTAGAAAATTTTTTTTCAAACTCAGGGTTTTGTGCTTGCAAAGCAGGCACTGTACCACTTGAGCCACTGTGGTTGTTTTGGAAATGGGGGTCTTGTGAGCTATTTGTCCAGATTGACCTCAAACCATGATCCTCCTAATCTCAGCCTACCAGATAGCTAAGATTACAGACATGAGACACTGGTGCCCAGCCATATGTTAAATCCATGTTTAATTTTTTTGAAGAACTTCCATACTGTTTTCCGTAGCAGCGGCACTGTTTGACATCCCACCAGCCAATGCACAAGGGTCTTAATTTCTCTACATCCCTGCTAATATTTGTTATTTTGTTTTTTCAATAATAGCCATCTTAATGGGTACAAAGTGGCATCTTATTGTGGTTTTGATTTTTATTTCCCTAATGATTAGTGATGTTGAGCATATTTTCACATACTTTTTGGTTGTTTGTATATCTTCTTTGGAGAAATGTCTATTCTGATTCTTTGCTCACTTAAAAAGAAGTTTGGATTTTTTTTTGTTATGTTTTGTTTTGTTTTTGAGTTATGGGAGTTCTTTATATATTCTGGATATTAACCTCTTATCATATGTATGATATGCAAATGTTTGTTCCAAGTCTGTATTACCTCTTAACTCTGTTGATAGTGTCCCTTGATGTACAAAAGTTTTAAATTTTGATGCAGATGATTTATCCTTTGATTGCCTGTGTTTTTTTTCTTTTGTTGCCTGTGCTTTTGGTGTCAGACCCAAGAAATGATTATCAAACCCAAGGTCATGAAGCCTTTTTCCCTATGTTTTCTTCTAAGATTTTATAGTTTAAGTCTTAAATTTAGGTTTTTGAACCACTTTTTTTTTTATCAATTTATTTCAAGGTAAGCACCTAACTCCTTTTGCATGTGAACATTTAGTTTTCCCAGCACCATTTGTTGAAAGATAGTGCTTCTTAAACAAGGATTGTTCTAATGGAACAATCCAAAGCCTTTTTTCACTGTTTCAAAGGTCAAACAAATAATGATTAGGTTGTGCATCACTTGAGGTAGATTTTGACCTTTACAAGTTGAAGAGTAAGTGAAATCTAAGATCATTTACATTCCTCAGGAAGAAAAAAAAATAAGAAAAGCCTGAGAAGTTACAGGATATCCCACCAGTCAAAGTACACTGTCTTGGTTTGCAGTTCTCCAAACTCCCAAACTCAGTTGGCTGGAGTGACCTCCCTCCTACCTGGCCACCTAGGAGGCTAGTGAGGAAAATGTCCTCACCATTTCTTTGGTATTTGGTTACCTTATTGGCTTTGGCTGAATTATATGATGAAGCTGAGGGACTTGAGCTGCAGCGACATAAACGAAATGCTGATCTTCAACAGTAAGTAGACTCCTGGGTCATCTTTTGCTAATGGACTAGTGTACTTCCTCACCAGTTTTGACAAATAGTCAGATCAGCAAAAGTATAATTTTTCTTTAACAGCATTTTTTAAAAAGCAACAGAGAAAAATATTTGCAATAATATATGGAGTTACTTTGTTGGATATAAATTGTTCATTTATCAATACTTTGCTAATAAGCCAAGTATGGAATTACTGGGAGATATCCCTAAGAAATTTCCAGAGAAAGAAAAGGCAGATGAGCAGAAAGAATTTGGTTGAGTTGATTTCACAGTGAGACTGCGTACAGTCTATAGCTATTCAGTGAGAATGAATTTTAAAATTATATGTACTAATTACTGATACATTCTCTGGTTGAATTATACAGGCCTCGGATGGCTGCAGAGAGTGGAAATTTAGTGTTTCTTACGGGGTCTGCCCAAAACATTGAATTTAGAACTGGATCCCTGGGAAAAATTAAATTAAACAATGAAGACCTTGGTGAATGTTTGCATCAGGTAAAACACTGGAAATATACTGATGTTATTTTGCATATCCATCTGTATGACTTAATTGAACAGCTTGGTATTAATCTGTGCTTTGAATCTTTAGCACAGAGAATGTAATTGGAAGTAAGATGAGGTTATAAAGAAGGCCTACCTTAGGGGAAGTAATGCTAGCAAGGGTGGCTCATTGTGCAAGGAAATGTACCCTAGTCCCGAGGGCAGCACTGGAACTCCTCTACCAGGGAAGGGAAGGAAGAGGGGTCAGACAAAGGCATGACCAGTTACTTCTGTCACAGAACAGAATTGGCCAATTATTCTCATGCTGCACTGAATGTTTTCAGTGTTCAATATTTACTATGTCATGCTGTATATCAGCCATAATGGTAAATCTACATCACTTAGAGCTTGATGTGCATTTTCTCATTTGTCTTTCCTAGCTACCCTATGAGTGGGCTTTCTTATTACTACATGTGTAAAGGAGGTAAAAGGATTGCAAAACAGTTCAATAACTTGCCCAAAGACCCACAATAAATACCTGGACCAAGGTTTAAAACCCAACTGGTCTTGTGCATGCTAGGCAAACACTATCACTGAGCTACATCCCCACCCTACCAATCTTCTCAGTAAGCATGCTAAACTGTTATTATGGCAAAAAAAATGCAGATAGAAAATATATTAATACCTAGGTATGGTCTTCATACCTGTAATCCCAGCTACTTGGGAGGTGGAGATTGGGAGGATCTTGGATCAAGTTAGTGAGATCATCAACTCAAAAAACCAGCCAAGAATGGTGCTCCTCATCTGTAATCTCAGCTACACAGAAGGTGTAGGCAGGAAGATTAAGATTTGAGGTTGGTCCCAGACAAAAAGTGGAAGACCCTATTTGAAAAATAACTATGCGAAAAGGCTAGAGGTATGGCTCAACTGGTAGAGTGTTTAACTGGTAAGAGAAGAATTCAAACTCCAGTACCTCAAAAGAAAAAAGAAAAAAATACATTAATGTATTGTTATTAAAAAGAGTATCTGGAATTATGCCATGGCTATTTTAGTCTAATGTTTTTTATGCACACATTACTCTGGGTTTTATAATAGGCAAGAGCTTCACACTTAAAATAGAATACTACTTATTACTTATTATATTACTATAATACATGCATGTTTCTTCACTAATGTTATTCTTCTCCTTTCCTTTTTAAAATTAGGTCCAGAAAAACAAAGATGATATTACAGATTTAAAAAGGAATACACTCAGTCTTACTCAAAATGTATCTAGCCAAGCCCATCAATTTAATTCCAAGGTAAGTCTGACATATATATCAGAAGAGCAAATGAGTTCTCCTTAATTCAACTTTGCTAGTAAAGCATTTTTCAGGAAACATTTAGACTTTGAATCCCCGTTAGATATTTATCATTGTGATTATGGCTTCTGGGTTAAGTGGTAAATAAGAGGTAGTGATGGACAGAAGGTAAGGAGAACTATGGCAAAGACTTTTAGCATTAGTTGGTCTGGTTCCAGTTCTGATACCAACTTCCTTGTTGGTGAAGGGGATTCATCACTGTCATTTATGAAAATCCCCATAGTCACTGTGTGAAAAGAAGCAATGAGCTAGTTTACCAGTGGGTTGTACTTTTAAAAGTAACTTAAAAAAAAAATGTATGTGATGAAAGGAAATAGGAAGGAAGGGAAGCCCAGAGCAGAGAGGAACGAAGAGGAAAAAAGCCATCCATCGAAAACAGGAGCAAACAAAGTAAGTCCCTAGAGGAGGGTGTCAGGAAACTATGTGAAGTGTGTAACATCGTATACAAAATGCCTTTTAGCCTGCTAATTGAGCCTTTTCTTTCTTCTCCACTTTTAGCTTGTGGATCTTGAGAAAAAATTTCAAAGCTTACAGCAGGTAAGTCCCATAATGATTAGTTGCTTGTTGAAAATATCAAGATCATTGATAGAGTAGATAGATGATCATTATCAAGGAGATGCTTTTTGTGTAACTTAATTCTCTTATGTTTCCTAAGATGCAGATGAGAACCTGAATTTGAGACCAATACTGAGAATGTGAGGTCTTCTGACTCTGAATTCACAGTCCACAGACCTCTCCCTTCACTGTCATCCTCTCACTGTGTTCCAGTGGTTTAATTGTGTTATACTTGGTCATCTAGTAACTCCTTTACTTGCTGATTCTGACACCATGGATTGAGTTTTGAAAAGCTACATAGCCTCAACACCATTAAGTTCAGAAGTCTGGGGTATATAACAAAATATTCTGATTTTTCTTAAAACTACATTTATTGGCAATTAAATTTGAACCATTTCTAAGAGTAAATGTTCTATAACTGCCACATGCTTATAAACTGGCCTATGTAATTTGAGGCTTTTTGCCATTTTTGTAGGTAGCTGGACTCTTTAGAACTTCTGTTGAAGCCATAGCCTTCTAACGCAGAGAACTCACAGACTCTCACCCTATCTCTAATTTAAACAGAGCTTGGGGAGTCCATGTTAGGAACATCTACTCAGTAGTCTTGGTCTGTTTTGATTATGCTTCAAGCATTGTCTTCTACTTTTGATGTTTTAAGTTTGGTGAACAAATTCATTTTTGCCACTTTGAGAATGGATTACAAACTCAGCCTTTGTCTTTTTAGGAAGTACTTGAGTGAGCAAAAACAAGCAAGCAGTCATTCTGTTGAAGAAGACATGGCACTAGAGTTTTCAGTCTCCTACAGGGCTTTATTGTTCTTACCAGAGGTTAAGAACAGGAAAACATTAAAATGAGCTCAGACTGTCTCCTCCCCCATCCTCCAGGAAGAGTTTTTAATGATTTTCAAATGTGATCCCTTTCTGCCTTTAGATATGGCAAGGGCTCTCTGGCCACCCCAGTCCCTGTCACTCCCTATTGTCTCTTGACTGCAAACTGATTTCATTTCCTGCTGGGTCCTTATAGGCCTGAGAATTTTTGGATCATCAGACAGCACAGCTTTTGCACACCAGAACCTCTAATGAATTTTTGATTAGTGTTCTTAATAGTGTCCTTTGATGGACAGAGCTCATTGTGGTACAAAGTTAGACCAATAGAATATTGGGGAAAAAATAGAGTTCTTAAAGAGAACCCCACACACACACACACACACACACACACACACACCCTTGTATGGTCTCTCAATTTATGACAGAGTAAGATCTCCAATAAACAGCACTGGGCCAGTTGGCTATCCTCTGGTTCTCAATTTCACTTACAAAACAAAAGAAATGGGCTTGATTTTTCTCTGAGTCATTGAATACATACATACATACATACATAAGTGAAATGAATATTTGTCCCTATTTCAATAGAATTTGATTGTAGTTAAAATTAGCAAAATAGCTTCATTGCATTATGATGTATCCTCTGCCTCTGCCCAGTAAAACATTAAAAATCCTACAATAGTGAAATTGGTAGCTGACATAGGGTAAGATCCCCCAGGTTGTGCAGACAAAGGTAGGTCTGTTTGCTGCTCTGGTTTGAAAGCAGTCAGGTGAGCACAAGGGTGGAGGGTGTATCTTAGCTGGCCACATTTCAAACAAAGGAGTCTGGAATGAGGAGTTCAGTCATTTTATCCCATGGGAGGAGGGCTGGCAGTAAAAGATGATCAGATTTCAAAGGCTTATCTGGAGTACCAAAGATAAGACTAATAGGCAAAAGAACGGAAAATTTCCATTTTATTTTCTCAGTGCAATAGGAATGAGCATTATTCGCACATCTGAAATCTTTACTCTTGTCCAGTGACATATATTTCTCAGATAAACAAGATTTTTGCAAAGAATAGAGTGAGATTTTTCTCCAGTCACTCATACCTCATCCTATCCTATGATCAAAAGAATGGGAAGAGTCAAGGAGTATGAGCACAACTGATAATAGGAATCACTTCTTTTTCACAAGAGAGTTGATTTTAAGATGAACTTGAGCAATTAATTGATTGGCAGTCTGCAGGAAGGCCTCCACTGATGAGTAAAAGGAAATTCCCCATACACACCTGCTTTTCATTGCTGCCCAGGGCAAGTGCCATTGTCTCACTGACCTCTTGTTGTTTCAGACAGTGGAAAAAAACGTTTGCAGCAGCAATCCCTGCAGAAATGGTGGAACTTGCCTCAATCTGCAGGATTCCTTTTTTTGTATCTGTCCCCCACAGTGGGAGGTGAGTCACTTGATATCTGATGAAAGTGATGGTGAGTCAGCATCTATGGTTTACTGGAATCATTCCAACACATTTAATTCTCCATCCAAAGTTTCTAGTTTTCACTGGCCTCCTCAGTTAGAATTAATTATACCATGTATGCCAAATGATGACAAGCTTGATTCTATAACCTACTGAATACTAAGCCATCTTAAGGAGGTGAGAAAATACTGTTCCTATTGGCATCAGTTTAAATTGCTCAACATTGGAAAGTACTTCTTGAATTTTGACATACCTATGTCAAGATTTTCGTAATGGTGAAAATGCTCCCAGCAGATACTTTAACAAAATAATTAGTAAGTAAGTATTCCCAGCTTTGGCAGCATTGGGAACTGAGTACTCAACTACATAAGAAATCTCCTGTGACTGCTGTGATCTTATGAAGAACTCATTGATTCTGTTAGGTCAAATTTGGGTTGCAATGAAGGACAGCCAGCTTAATATTAGAATTATTGTATTTTGCCTTACAAAATACAATCTATGTATAAATTCTTATATATATCATATGAATATTGGCTCCCTTGTGCCTCATGGTACCTGACTATGTTCTTCCTATGACTACAGGGTCCCCTCTGCTTAGATGATATTGACGAATGTGACTTTTACTCAGGAACACCCTTGGCCTGCCAGAATGGAGCCACATGTGTAAATACAGTGGGGACTTACAGGTAACTTAAAAAAAAAAGACAAAGGCATTCAACAGCTAAAACATTTAAATTACTGCCTATATTACCAGTAATACTAGGTACTCCAGGGAGAAATATATGGCTATTACTGAATATATTCTTAGCTATTTTTTTTTTAGATGAATAAAAGCCTCAACAAGTCCTCAACTCTGATCCCATGAAGAAATCCTTTCTCTAGCACCTCTGAAGACTGGGAAGAGTCTATCATGACGGCTACAGAGAGTAAAGCTAGCATGGTGCAACATGAGTTGAAGCATTAGCAAGAGTCAGAACATCGAAGAGGCAGCCACGGGGATAAGTTTAAGTAGAGGAGGGGCAGCCTACCATTCCAGTGTCCCTCAGTTGTGCTTATTACATATATTATCAAGCTCATCATGTTAATAAGGATAGCTTCATTGAACACTGTGTGAGAATGTTGACCAAAATAAGATACAAGACTAAAGTAATGCTCAATGAATGAATTAACTCTTCATTGTGTTTTTTAGTTAGCTGAAGGTTCCCAGCCACAATCCTTATTGGCTCTATCTTCTCTGCTGATTTATTTTTTCACAGGAGTAGTTCACAACATTCTCCTGTTCAGCTCAGGAATTGCCTTCCCCGGGAAACCTTCCCTTCCTTTAAACTGAGTTAGATATCACAATGCCTTCTTGTTCCTACCATACTGTAGAAATATTGGTCATGGAAGCCACACTAGCCCACATACTACTTTTTTATTGAATAAGTCTATACTTTTATGATAGATCATCATCAAATTTACTTGTGTATATTTGCTTAAAATCATTAAAAAAATCTCTAGACATTATCTTTCCCTATGTTTTGACTGGTCTCTTACATTTGGAGATTATTTAAGGATTAAGAAATTGGTTGTGCTATGGCATGAACAAGTTCTTTATTACTCTACAGTATTATCTCACTGAATTAAAGGACAATTATTTGCTCTCTTCCTAGTGACTTTGCTATCTTGTTTTTTAATGACCTTGTAACAATAGTCATTCTATTCTCCAGCAAAAATGAGTGTAGTATTTTTTTTATCCTTGTCTTCTGTTAACACATTATTTTCTTAAAAGCAGTCATAGTCTTTTCATTCTTTTGTTCTCTTCTTTAAAACTTTAAAAAAACTCATTTCAGGTATAAAAACTCATTCAAACTTCTGGTAAATATGCTTATGAGTTCAATTATTATGCAAAAACAAAATTAATCATTAAATTCTCTTTTAATACTGTGTTATAAAGAGCCTTAGCATGGTACAGGAGGGACAAAGGCTCTGGTAAGAATCATAGCTTTGAAGGGACATTGAACTGTTTTAAGGACTTTGTTTCTCATTTAAATAACCCTTCTGCCCTTGGCTTTTATGAACTTTCCATCTTGGGCTAATGTTTCACCCCCTCAAAAGCATTATCTCTTGATTTCTGTTTATGGCCATTTATCAAGGAGAATTGCTACTTGGAGTTGTCTGCAGCAAATGTACCAACTCATAGTTCTTTTGCTTTCTGGCCTTCCCAATATCTAAGCATGTCCTTGAGATTAGATCTGATTCCTGATTCTCCTTCATCATCATTGTCTTTTGGTATCTTGTGTGCCAATCTAGTGATAAAGATGTACATGTGGGATGACACCCATTTCCCAAGCCAGCTGCCATTATTATTTTCTCAGCACATTATTTTTCTCCCCTGCAAAACAGAAAAGGAAAAAAAGAATGACTTTAGCATTCAGAACTATTTGTTGCATGGAGTTCCTTGTCCAGATACATGCATATGAGAGTAAGAGAGGAGAGAGAGAAAGAGAGAGAGAGAGAGAGACCCATTTTATTTCTTGAGAGCTGCATTGAAGGGATAAAATTAAATAGAAAAACGTGCATGAGCATAAAACTTAATTCTTGCATTGTAGAATTTGCCTGTAGTGAAACAGTGAACAGTTAGACAATATCTTGAGTTCTACTAATTATGTGATGTTAATTCTTAGTAGTATCACTGAGGTTAGAAACACCTTTGGGAAACTGTGACACACATTTGCTAAAGGAAAACTTGAGCTACTGTTGAATAATCTGGATCTGCAAAAATATGGTCATGGGTGGCAAAGCTTGCTTTGGGTTTGAGATCTCCTTTATTTTTCTTTTAATTCTTTAAGCCAATTTACTTGTGGAAAAAAATGGAGTCTTTATTAAACTGGATCATAATTCATAATTGTAAAGACTAGACCTTTGAAAAGATAAAGCACTAGCAAATACTAATTAATTGGAAATCCTGTTTCATAGGAAAATTTTTGATAAAAATTCTTTTTTTAGCATAACGAGAATAGAGCAAGAAAAAACACTGTTTCTACTCATTTTTGTGATTTGAGGTCTTGTTCCCAACTGTTTCAGATAGCTAACAGTGATATTTTGGCATTTCTCAGTGCTGTTATTGCTTCTTAATTGATTCTTATTGTTTTTCTGCTTACTTTGTAATTCAGAAAGCCTTTGGGGTCTGAACTTTCCATGCGTGGATGATATAAATACACACATAATGTATACAGCAATATACTTAGGATTCAGGTCACGAACGTTATCCAGAAAAAAGAAAAGTGTGTTTGTTTTATTTATTTCCATTCATATCACTGGTGGATTTTAAAACATGCAGAGCTTAAGCAAATAGTCTGGTTTTAGCTCAGGTGGTAGTTAGGTATTAAACTTATTATCTCTCTTAGTTACTCAGTTTATTGATTGAACCATGGACTCTAACACAAGTTAAACTATGACTATGGAAATATATTTGACCTCTTCTCAATTACCAAATGCATTTATAGTATTTTTGAAGTCTGAAAAACTTCACTTTTTTCTGTGAAGTTGGAACCAAATCAGCAATAATTGACTTTAATAACGAATCAGCAACTAACAACTAAAGCAGGAATGTCAGTAAGGAAGTTTTAAAATACCCATGTGGTTTCATTTTCACTAAGGAGATATATAATTAATTACTGTTTTTCTTTAAGGTCTATATCCTTTCTTGAAAATGTATTTTACATGCAAATACTGTTATGTTAAAAAAGACAGACAAATATAAAATCTTCATGCCAACTTTGCCTTTCAGAACACAGAAATGCAACTTGGAAAAATAATGGTGCATGAATAACACACACCTAAGTTTTCATTCATCTTTAATCATTTATTAATTTTGTGGCCATAGGCAATGTGTATCTCTACAATGAAATTAAAAATACTGCCTTTGAAGATATAGCAAGGAAGCCTATAGTTTACTTGTCTTATTTCCTCCCTCCTTTTTTCTTCTTCTCATATTATCTAAATTTAAATGAAAGAAGTCTACTTTGCAGTTGGTTAAAGAAGAGTGTGGGATTAATGTCTACTCATCTCCAAGTGATCATAGCAAGGGAGAAGGAAAAGAGAGATAAGGAGAGAGGATTTAACTGCCAGGCTCATGAGCCAGAATCTCCTCTCAAATCTTAAGTCTTTTTCCAATAGTTAAGTGCTTAGTGATCAGATAAACACAATTTGGAAGCACTTCCTTCAGAGGAATGCCTGTGAAAATAGTGCTGATCAGTTAGTTAGTGCATTGTCTGAGGTGCACAATTAACATTTTTGTTCAGGATTTAAACCTGGGTGGTCATGTCTTAGGAGTTCCCAAACACTCAGGTCTCTCATAAATAGCAAATAGACTTAGAAACCTAGTAAAAATTGATTTTAAGATTTTTTTTTAAATTGGCAGGTGTCTGGGTTGCTATGAAAATAAATTTGTAGCAATGAAGCGCACTTGATCAAATGTTCCAGTATGCATATGAAATGTTCTAGCATTCTATAATCTTAAAGAGCATAATTAAATTCTCTGTAAGAATATTCTAATGTAAGGATGAGAGAGAAGATGTGGGAAAAGACAGAAGAATGTAGGAGGGGAAGATGAATAATTATGGATAGGGAATGAGCAGCTGAATTTCTGCTTAAGTTTAATCATCTATTGTTATTTTATTCATCTATGACCTAGTCTTAATGAGAAAAGCAATCTTGGAATGTTCAGGAATGTAATTTAATGAAACAGCTTTTAAATAATACATAGTGATGATGTAAATTCCATAGATCATACTTATACCCAAAATACTCATTTATCTGAAATTCAAATTTAACTGGGCATTCTATATTTTTATTTGGTACATCTGGCAACCCTACATATGTGTGCATGGATGCCATTCATAGTATTCTTACTCTCCATCTCTGGCTGTATTCATTCATTGATCTCTTCTTCCTTAGCAGCCACTCAAAGACACCACCCCCACAATCATTTCTGGGACCACCATGGGCATGCTGAATTCTGTGTGGCTCTTGATAGTCTAAACAGACACACTCATTTCCTGCACTCTCATTCACATGTTGTCTTCCGTGGGCATTTGCTGAGCTCCTTGTACCTTGATGCATTTTGTTAAGTATTTCTTCATTTTGTAGAATGGTCCCTTTTCCAGGACATGCAAAAACTAGTTCATTGTTCTAGACATTGGAGCCAGACATGGCCACTCAAGTGCTCCCTCTTCTTTGTTTCTGACCCCTGGCATGGACATGGCCATCAGTTTCCTTGAGGACTTTCCTTGTCAGTGCTGCTCAACTCTGGCAAACAGTGACTTTTCCATTCCCTTAGATGTGCTTAGACTTGTATAAATAAACGTAGGCTTCTGTCAATCCTCTATTCCTTTATCTTTCCACCCCCATCTCCAATACTCTTACCTTACAAGTTCCTTTTTAGGTTGCACTACCAATATAAAGTGAAGCCAGCAACTGTAAGAATGACAATGGCTTAACCAGTAGTGGTGGCACACACCTGTAATCCCAGCAGTTGGGAGGCTTAGGGGGTGTCAATCATGAATTGGTGGCTAGCCTAGACTACATGTTGAGACCCTGTTTCAAAAACAAAAAAGAATTTCAAAATTACAATAGCTTAGTCTGAAATCTAGTAACAAGACAAATGTAGCATATGTATGATATAATTAGATTTCATTGAATTAAAATGTGAGTATGGAAAATGTCATTAACTGCATCTCTTATGGATAGATGACACATTGCCCTGTGTTATGTAATGATAATTATCATAGACTGAGATGTGGACATTGCATGTGGGGCTATTCCATCCTAGAGTGCAGTTGGGAGGTATTAATTTAATCAAGGTCACCTGTGCTTACTAGAGATCTGGTAGAACAGACAATGAATGGACTTCATGGTCTTTTTATTTCTCTTCTTGAATTACCTCTGTCACCCATGGTTTCATCTGACCTTTGAAAGTGCTGTTTAATGACTTGATACCAGAAGAATTTTTTTTTATTCATATGTGCATACAAGGCTTGGGTCATTTCTCCCCCCTGCTCCCACCCCCTCCCTTACCACCCACTCCACCCCCTCCCTCTCCCCACTACCCTCTCAATACCCAGCAGAAACTATTTTGCCCTTATTGATACCAGAAGAATTTATAGTGGTAGTCTTATGCAATAGTAAGACATGATTCTCTGACACTTTATTTGTAATGATAAAATATTTACTCAGTCCTTTGTCTGGAGCAGAACAGGGTGATTTTCTTTCAAGTTTCCAGCCAGTAAATCTGCATTGCTGGCTTATGGTTCTATGTTGATATGCAATTTGGATATCTTTTTTTACTGATGCTAAGAGACAGGCATCAGCCTTAAAATACAAACCCTGATATTGTGCTCTTTTGTACCAACAGATGTGACTGCACACCTGAGACATATGGGCCCCAGTGTGCATACAAATATGATGACTGCAAAAGGGGCTCTAAGGAGCTCTGTGTCCATGGCATCTGTGAGGATTTGGACCGAGTGCAAGTTGGACAGGTGGGTCCTTTCTCCAAATGTGATTCCTTGTGAGAGTCCTAGTTGTCAGTTCCTCATCCTGTTCTAATTGTGTGGGAGCATTGCCCTATAGAGTTTCAGATGTGAAGTTGCTTCCTGTCCTTAATGGGGCACAGGTGAGGAGAGGAGCTGAGCTATGCAGAAAACTGGACCCAGAGGTTAATAAAAACACTAACACTTTTATCATTCCTTCATGAATCTCCCTATGAGACATGACCTTCTCTTGGCCTCATATGATGGAAAATGTTTCCTTCCCATGGTGGAGTAGTGAAGAGATAGAGGAGAAGGTAGTAGGGGAAGAACAAGACTTTCAAAAGGGAGACAAACAAAATTGATTTCCCAACGTCTGTGCCTACATGGGTGTTTCTCCCCTTTAAAAACATAGCAGGCTGAGTTGATTGACTTTAATTATATTGACTTACAGTTCTTGATTATTGCTACTATTTCCCTGGCATCTTTGGGATAAATTACAGGATACTCCTACTCTGAAATAAAGGTGTTTCCTTTTTTCTGTGGTATAGTCTAAATGCTTAAATAATATGGGAAGAAAAAGAGAAACTACTCAAGTGGCCTCATGGAAGTGAGGCTCGTAGCACATTTGGGGCTTGGTGAGATTTTCAAAGGCTTTCTTGGTTCCTTTCCTAACGTCCTGTATTTACACTGTTGTCATCCTGCCAGCCTAACTACCGCTGCATCTGTGATGCCGGGTGGACATTTCTGCCCAACAGCCCTGCCTGCACAGAGGATGAAGATGAGTGCAGCCCCAATCCTTGTTCGGAAAATGTGACATGTTTCAATACTCAGGGCTCTTTCTACTGTGGGGCCTGTCCAAAAGGTACATTCACTACATGCCCAGTGTTACACGCTAGACAGGCAAGGCACTAGTACCAATTTCCTTGCACTATGGACGGGTAACATGCTTATTCTGAGGAGATGCTTGTTCTGTTTCCTGTTGCATGTCCTGTTTCACTAACATCTTCTCAGGGCCATCTCACTGCTACAATTTTGTAAACGAGATGGGAGATTTGTTCAAAAGTGTGCTAGAGTCAAACTTGGGAACATGGCTAACCATAGCATTTGAGAGGTCTAACCTCGTGTTGCTGTGGCCATCAGCCAACTAGACCTGTGGTCAAAAGACCTGTTCTCTAGTTCCACCTTTTGTATTAATCAGATGTTTGCAAACTCAGGCAAATTCTTTGATTTCTTTGCATCTCTGCTACGGTTTGGTAGTTCTCACCTGGGCATGTCATTTGAGTACTCCATGTCTTTGCTGGGGATAAAGATATCTAGCTCCATCACAGCCACACAGTGACCTAATCTCCAGGGAAGGCTAGGCTGTATGTTGAACTGCTGAAACATGGGCTCTGTACTTAGAGCAGAGACTGACTGCCTGGGCTTGAATCTAAGCTTCCTCTCTCTATATGAGATCATCATCACCCATTTAACATTTATCTGCAGGGCACCTGATAAGAGCAAAACTCTGTGCTGGATGTACTGGGGAGCAGTTAACAAGACTTTAGGGAGTTTACTGAGCCTCTCTCTGCTTCCTGGGTGTTTTCAAAAGTAGAGTACAGATTATCATAATAGTAGTTCTTCTTTTATGAAAATGTCAAGGGTACCATGAAAGTGTAAGAAAGTATTGTTTTAAATCTTGAAACTACAACAAAACTCATTGTAGGAACTATTATTCGCACTTTTTTTTTTCATTTTTCTTTTATTATTCATATGTGCATACAAGGCTTGGTTCATTTCTCCCCCCTGCCCCCACCCCCTCCCTTACCACCCACTCCGCCCCCTCCCTCTCCCCCCCACCCCCTCAATACCCAGCAGAAACTATTTTGCCCTTATTTCTAATTTTGTTGTAGAGAGAGTATAAGCAATAATAGGAAGGAACAAGGGTTTTTGCTGGTTGAGATAAGGATAGCTATACAGGGCTTCAGGCTTGGAAAGGTTAAATACCAAATACTTTTGCTAAGATCACATAACTTATCAGTAGCTAGGATTCAAACCCAGCTCTGCTTAACCCTGGCTCTGAGCTGAGCTGCTGAATACTCTATTGCTGTGCCTCACCAAGGAAACACACACACCTACTGCATCACTTAGTGATTTGTGGTTTAGGGATTTTCTGTGTAAGTTATATGTTATAAAACTAGAAAGAAATGGAAACAAACTGTGAAGATTTTCTCCTTTTTAAATCTCAGGGGGAAATAAAATTTGCAAATAAACACAATTTCAAAGGTAATTTATCAATGATAATCTTTAAAAAGTAGAAATCAGAAACCCAAATTACACAAATTAGAGGATGGACAATGTGCTGACATTCTTCTTTTTATATTGTTGGAGAGAAAAAAAAGCTATTTATTTTCCTCTTAATCAACCTGTTGTCTGTGAATATTAAAGTAATATATACTATTTATAAAATATAAAGAAACCATAAAAATATGGGAGAAAAGCAGAAAAAAGTACTCAGATTATTATCACTCTGAGAATTGCCTTTCTGAGGACTATATTTCCTCCAGCTTTTCTGTGTGCACTCATGTAATTATCCTCAAATATAATTTTCCCAAGTAGGTTCTTAGAAGGAGACTCCACTTAGGTTGTAAATATTTTAAAGGTTTAAAGAGTTTTCAAGCATTGTTATAACTTTAACTTGAATTATGAGAGTAATATAGACTTACAATTGTATAAAATAGGAATGACTAAGGTAAAATGATATTCTCCTCTTCTCCTTCAGTCTCATCCTCCTATTGAGATTACTATTAGCCATTGCTTTTTACTCATAGAAACACATCCAAACAGAAGCAGGCTTTTAAACAATTCCTTCCCCAAACTGGGGGTATGATTCTCAACTCTAGTATTCTAAAATTTGTCATATACAACTAAAAAATGCATGGGAAAATTCTTTCAATGTGTGTATATGTTCACATATACACACATACAGGCATATGTGCATTATTAAAATTGTGTTTTAGAGCTAGGTACCTGTAATTCTAGCTACTCAGGAGGTAAAGATCAGGAGGTTCAAGGTTCAAAGCCAGCCCGGGCAAATAATTCATGAGATCCTATTTTGAAAAACCCTTCACAAAAATAGGGCTGGTGGAGTGGCCCAAAGTGAAGGTCCTAAGTTTAAGCCCCAGTACCACAAAAAAAACATTGTGTTTTAGTATTCAGTGGCATAAATGAGTCATAAGGTAATCAGTTGTAACACTATTGACCATTGACTTTTCCTATTAAACAATGCTGCAACAGACCTCTTACATACATTTTACTATGCTGGTAATTTTATTATGATAGAATAAGTTTTAAGAAGTAGAATTGTTAGACAAAGGCTATGTATTTAAATCATTGTTTTTTAAATGAATACTGCCAGATATCTTTCAATCAAAGGTTATGTACTTAAAAAATTAATGAATACTGCCAGATTTCTTTCCAAATTGGTTAGATTAATTTATTACTGAACTAACAGTCTTAGGTGCAACTAATTTCCCTCTACTTTGACAGAATTTGTTTCTAAGAATTTAAGACAATTTTTACCAATTGGTCTATCTCATTTTAGTCTATAGTTATTTTAGTAGAACAACATTTTATGTGTTTTAGCTCTTTGTATTTCTTCCTCACTGCCTTGTGTATAGAGCTAACATTTCAAATCTTGTTTTTCTAGGCTGGAAAGGAAATGGGTATCATTGTGAAGACATCAATGAGTGTGAGATACATAATGGCGGCTGTTCAGTGGTTCCACTTGTTGAGTGTGTGAATACACTTGGGTCTTTCCACTGTGGGGACTGTCCACCCGGTACTGTAACCAGGTTTCCTGATACTGTTACAGGCAACATTTGAAAGCAGAATCTTGTGCTCCACTTAAAATATGATTTCTGTCTAAGATCAGAAACTGAGTAGTCCAGCATGTTTAATTTAACATGTTGATTCAGAACATATTAGTACAACTATATTATAAGAAAAGAATAAAAAAAATAGAAAACAAACTTTTTCAAACTATGGAATTGTCACTGAGATAATACAAAATTGGAAGAATTTTCTGTGTGAATCTCAGATCTACTGTTTCTTTGTTCCCACATATAATTTATTGATAATTTATTAACTCACAGGATGTTTTACAGATTAAGTTTACTAAATCACAGACATATCATACATGTTAGTTTCCTTTTCTTTGGAAAGAAGTCACTACTGCTCTTTTCTACATTGAGTTAGTATCCAAAACATTCAGAGTGTTCTAAGGGATAAACTGAATCTCGTATGTTTTAATAACACGAACCAATAGCAGCTTAGACTTCTGCAATAATTTACCTCTAAGAATATCAGCATCACTGAGATGAAGAAATGCAAGTTGTTCCTTCATATCAGCAATTTCCAAGCCTACTAGTAGTTTCTATGTCTACTTGAAGTCATAGACACATACATATTTATACATGTATTTCATTAGAAACAAGCAAGAATCTTGTTTATGAAGTCAGTTTATGAATCTAGTTATTCTTTTCTCTCAATTATACAATTTTATTTATGCCACTTTATATTTGCATCTTCTGTTTTGATGACACGATCTCTGGTTGGTCTACTTCACGATATATGAGTCTCAGGTTGGCATTCTCTTTCTCCTTCACTCCTGACATTATTTCCCCTTTCCCTATTCTGCTTTGACCAGGTTACAATGGCAATGGAAGAGTGTGCACTCCTGAAGACATTTGCTCCTTCAATAATGGAGGCTGCCACCCAGAAGCATCGTGCTCCTCAGCTGTGGGTAAAGACTTGCCTCTCTCTTTGGACTTTAGTATTTTAACCCAATTCTCTGAAACCATTTGACATTGTAAAACCAAAAATCTTCTGTCCTCAACGTTCTTCTTTTGAGCTTCAAAATGAAAATTCATTCATTTTATAAAACTATATGCTTGGATTTTTAAAAATGCAGTAAGAAGGCCAGATATGGTGGCACACCTGTAAACCCAGCTACTCAGGAAGTGGAGGTGGAGATTGAAGGACTGAGGACTAGCTGGGGCAAAAGAAGGAGACCCCATCTGAAAAACAAACTAAAAAGCAAAAGGATTGGGGCTATGGCTCATGTAGTAGAGTGCTTGTGTTGCAGGGCCTGGAGACCAATCCCCAGTACTGTCCCCCCCCAAAAAAAATAAATAGGTTATGCTCTTTTATGATCTGCTCTAATTTAGGAATTATTTCCCAAGATAATTATCTCCCAAGATGAGGAAGAAGGAAACATCACTTCCCTTTAAGGACTTTTCTGTTTCTATGCCATTGACTAGAATTGAGCCACAAGGCTAAACTTGGCTGCACAGGCTGACTGGGAAGTGTAATCTTTATTTCAGGTACAATGAATCTAGCTGAAATAAGTGTTTACTACTAAGGAAGGAGAAAATTCCAGTTTTATATCCTTGGTCAAGACAATCTGTCTGAGCTCAGCCTTCATTTGTAAAGGTGTAAATAGTTATAATAGTACTTGCTTGTAAGGCTATTGAGAGGTTTAAAGCAGTCTCTATAGATAGATACAGTGCTTGCAACAGATCCATTCAAAGAATCCTCTTTTCTGCAATGACCCTTCTGTGATGAAGAACTCCCATTTCCTTTAGTGAATATCTCACTTGTACACAGCTCAAGACTTTCTGACACATTAAGTGAGAGCACCAGTGCCAATACATATATAAAGCATTCTAATATTTTATTCTCATATTTTGTTTTGTCCACCCATAAGAATATGCAGACTTGACATTGACAGATTCCTATTTTGACACCAGAACCTGAATTCAGTTGTTGCCACTGAACTGAGAAGACTAACTATATCTATACTTTCATTTTTATTACTGAACAGGCTCCTTTCCTGTCTGCACCTGTTCCCAAGGATATACTGGAAATGGTTATGGACCAAATGGATGTGTGCGCCTCAGTAACCTTTGCTTACACCACCCTTGTATAAATGGGCAATGCATAGTAAGTTTTGTTTTCTTTGGAAATGAGTGCTTGTGAATAATTTTAGTTTTGCTTTTGTAAAATAAATTTTATATGATTTATGAATTTTAAAGTAATGATTCAAACTTAAGATAAGTAACTGTGAATAACTCTCAGATAAAAGGTAGGTAAGGAATTTAGTTTCCAGGAAAAACCAGTTAATTTTTATCACAGTGATTTGCAAAGTAGAAACCAAAGCTCACAATTTGATCCAACAGAAAATACTCAGTATGGTTCAACTCCTATTAGGTATGCCACACAGTATCACTTTGCTATTTGGACTGGTTCTATTTTGTTGTGTAACCATTTATTTTATGTTATTATGTTTTTTTTCTCCTTAGGATACAGTCTCTAGTTACTTTTGTAAGTGTGAATCAGGTTGGACTGGTGTCAACTGCACAGAAAATATCAATGAGTGTTTGAGCAACCCCTGTTTGAATGGGGGAACTTGTGTTGATGGCATTAATGCCTTCGGCTGTGAATGCACTAGTTCTTGGACTGGATCTCACTGTCAGACTCCCCAGCAAGGTATGGTCAGTGTTTCTTACACCACAGATACACAAACTTAAAAGTATCTTCAGTGAGTCCTACAGATTCTCCACCTGAACCTCCTTTCTTGTCCATATGCTCAGATGCTGAGAATGAAATCTTTTCTTGTAGAAATGACCTAGAATTCACAAGGTACATATTTATAAATCTCCAGTTAAGCCAGAATTTTTCTTCAAAAGAATTAAATTGGCATTTGCCATTTTTATTATATCCTTTGTGAATATAAAATGTGTAAGGTACTGCCTTTTATAGTTCCCTCCTTTCTATATTGTAGCCTTTTAATTTCCCTAGAATACTTTGCTTAATCATATCACTCTTCTGCTTGGAACATACACTGGCACCTCATTGCCTGTTAAATAGAGATTGGGATTGTTTCTCAATAAACAGCCTCCACTCTATCCATCTAACATTATTTTTCACTAGTGTCCTAAAAATACTCTGATTCAAGGCAGACATTTTTCTTTTGTCACCTGACTCCATGTGCCACCATGAATTGTTCAAACCATGTTCTTTTAGTTGGGAAATGTCTTCACACAACCCTCTCCAAATTCTGTCCTTGTTTTCCATCATGCTGTATGTGTTGCTCGGTTGTACTTCACATTCAACCCCCTCCAAACAGTCTCTTCTGATAACTCCACCCTCGCTTATTACTCCTGGTTCTGAATCAATACATTTGTTGAGATGTGATAATCTGTTTAGGATAACAGTAGACCCTGTGGAGAAAATGGAAACATAAAATACCGTCTCCACTTACTATCTGCTCACCTTCTGGCTAAGATATAAGACTATCACAAAACGGCAGAGAAAATGGCACAAGATGGCAGAACTAAAGCTATGAACTGAAGTGTGTGCATTAAAGTCAAGTTTCAGGTACAGGTGTAGAGTACAGGAAAATAGAAGACAAGAAGGTGATGGACTATCAACTGGACTTGGAATAAATGGCGGACTTTGGCTAGGCATCACCAGACAAGAGACAGAGAAGAGGGAATGGTAGGCTCGGTTGCCTAGCCTCTTCCTTTTAGGAGTTTCTGTAAAGCACAGCTCTACATTGTTTCCTTTGCAGTTTGTGGGGGGTCCCTCTCAGGGATGAATGGAAGCTTTAACTACAGGAGCCCTGATACTGGTTATGTTCACGATGTTAACTGCTTCTGGGTTATCCGAACTGAACTGGGGAAGGTAAGTGTAGTAACTACTGTCCAAATGAAGATTTCACTTATGTATCTGAATAAGTGATATATTATGTAATCATTACATAAAGCACACAAGATGAACTCAGCTCTCATATATTTTTTACTAAGTACCAAGCTTTGAGCTAGCTATTTTGCCTACCTTTCTCTAACCCTCTACTAACTCTTTGAAATAAATAACAATATGCTCATTTTATAGATGAAATAACAGAAACTAAGAGAAGTTGTTTAAACATTACTTAGTTTGTAATTGGAATAGTTGCATTTCAAAGTCAAGTGGGTCTGGTTCCAAAGTCCATGTGTTGTCTACAACTGGATGCTTCTCTATCTTGGTTAACTATAAGCCAGGCGCTACCTTGTGTTATCATGCTGTTACTGAGAAAGTAGTGTTTGAAGGTGCTGTCATCTCGGTTATATATTGATTATTATGCAAAATAGTGAAAGATACTAAGATAGTTTCCTTATCAAACGTCCTCTGTGCACCAAGGACTAAAGTCCACACTTCATATACATCATTGCATTTTTAACTTTCATAATCCTAAAGATAGAACTTTTATAACCTTCATTTTAAGTGTGACAAAACAGGTTCAGGCAGTTGGAAAATTTATCCAGGTGTGGGTTACTTGAAAGGCACGCAGGATCCCACACTATTCAACTCCACTATTTTAAAAAAAATTTGGTTGTTAGCATAAAATTGTTGTATAGGAGGATACATTGTGGTATTTACATATGTGCTTACAATGTATCTTAGTTAGATTTACCCCTTCCATCATTCTCCCTCCTCCCCTCTTCTGAGAACAGTTTCAACAGGTTTCATTCTTTTATTCATATATGAATACAAAATACAGCCACCATATTCACCCTCATTCACTCTTTTCTTATGCCCTCCCCTGGAAAACACCGGTTTTAACCCTCCTGGCATTATTATTTTTTTTTTAAGTGTATATTGATAGTCCAAGGGGGGTTTGCCTTGATATTTCAGACATGTATATATCGGGCTTTAATCAGATTGATCCCCCATTACTTACTCTTTCCTTATCACCATGCTCCCCTATAATTTAATAGCTTACAATATATTATATTATTTTCATATATCGAGGGATATTTCAATATTTTTCATTCTCTAACATTTTCTTTCCCTCTTCCACTTCACATAGCCCCCTCAGACACTCACTAATACAATTTTGTTCTCTTTCTTGCTATATATATATATGATCATACATGTACTTATGTGTACATTTAACATATAGCTCTAGCGTCCACATGAGGGAAAACATTTGACCTTTGACTTTCAGCTCCACTCTTAAAATTAAGATCCACTCTCAAGGTTTTCAGTACTGTTATCCCACTCAATTACTCAGATTTTCTAAGTATTTGTTTTTCAACCAATCCTGAACTTGTTAAAATAAAGTGGCATGTCTGAATAGATAAGATTTTCTCTTGAAATCTTATTAACTTTTTCCAGCAAACTAAGATTACAGAAAACATTATTTTCTTTTAAGGAGAGAAGGTGTTTGGAGCCTGGTAACCTCACAATAGAATAAATTCCAAAGTAAATTTCCCAATGCGTGTGTTATGTGAATTTCCTTCCTTCCATTTAGTTTTCATGAATTCTGTTTCCTGACATTGAAAACACCTTTTTCCAAGAAAAATTTCTTATGTGAAAATCTTTTAATATGCTCATTACCAATTTATAAGAAAATGTATCCTGCTTTTTCTTAGTTATTGTGGTTTTGTTTCTTCTTCCCACCATATTACAGTAAAATATGTACAAGTAATCAAATTAATTAACATTCATTTGATTTTTATTTAAATTGCTTCAAGGAGGAAAATAATGTAATGATCTCAAAATATCTTAGCATAAGATTTAAAAAATAGCCTGAAATTCTATTTCATTAGCTGAATACTGTTGTGATTTTCAGTTCTGACGAAAAATGAATTGAATAGCCTTCCTTTGGTTGGTTGATTGTTTTGAATGAGGTTGCTGGTACGAAATCTTTTGTTTTACTAATTGTATTACTATTTGTGAAGTTGTACATTTTAATACTCTCCCCCAGAGACTCTTTCATGTTCATTCTCTTATACTTGCTTACTCAGTGCTTCCCATGCTGCTGTCTTCATCATTCCCTGCTTTTAGTAGTCCTCACTGTTAGCGATATGCAGTCCCCGGAGATCTGCATACTCAACACATGTCTACCCCATGTCCACTTAGCCGGCACCTGAGCTTGTCAGTCTGGACTGAGCATCAGCATCTTTTCGGAGCAATTAAAAACAGATGTGTGTATAATACTTACACAGGTTATTCAGGGGACCAGGCATGTGAATGGCAGTATTAGCCAGTTTGACTTAATTCAAGGTAGACTTTTTAAATGACTAATTTATTTTACTGATTTACAAACACTGTCAGGCATTCACTTGAAGTGACTGTATCTGATATCTGACAGTGTAATGAACTCTAGGAACATTTATTTCATTACATTTTCAATTGACATAATATTTGTACATATTTTATGGGGTGCAATATGATAATTTCAAACATGTGTACAGTGTGTAATAATCAAATCAGGAGATGTAGCATTTCCATGTCCTCAAAGATTTTTGATATATTTTGATATCAATTAAAGCTTGGTCTTAGCAATTTTTTCTTTTTTAGTGCTACTGGGGTTTGAATTCAGAGCCTAGCGTTTGTTATGCAGGTGCTCTACCACACGAGTCACATTCCCAGCCTTTTTACTTTACTTTTCAGATAAGGTCTTGCTTTTTCACTTGGGGCTGACCTTGAACCATGATCCTCCTACCTCTGTCTCCCATGTCACATAGCTGGGATTACAAGCATGAACCACCATACCCAGCTAATTTGTTGAGATGTAGTCTTATTAACTTTTTATCCAGGCTGGCCTCAATCTGCAATCCTCTGACCTCTGCATCCCAAGTAGCTGGGATTACCAGGTGTTCATAGCAATTTTTAATACAAGTCCTTTAATATGTAGAATTGCTGTAAGTATTGTTGGGTAATCAGAAAATGATAAGTATGTCTTTCTATATCAATAAATTCTAGTTAATAGAATTAACATGGAAATGAAAAATAATTTACAGTGACTTTTATATTTTTTAGGTTCTAAATATCACTTTCAGTTTTTTCGACTTGGAGCCAGTGAACAATTGTCCACATGAGTTTCTTCAGATCCACGATGGAGACTCCTCTGCAGCTTTTCCACTTGGAAGATTCTGTGGCCACCAAGGCCCTGAGGGTCTGGTCAGCAGTGACAATGCGCTGTACTTCCATCTCTATTCTGAACACTTGAGAACTGGGAGAGGTGTCACAGTAAGATGGGAAACACAGCAGCCAGGTGAGTGTAACCCAAGGGAGGAGCAAAGCAAAACCTCGAGGTTTTCTTGATGAATATTGTGACAGATTTTGGGAGCCAGAGAAACATAACATTTTTAGAATTATTTTAAAGTCAAATAAATCCAAAAAGAATAGATTTCATTAGGTGTTCAAAGATAACAAAATTAGGATGTGTTGACAGGGACTAAAGTCCACGAGTTTTAATGAGTCTGATGAAGTTACTGAACAGTGTGCTTTAAAATTCTGCTAATAAAATTACTTCAGGGATGTCTCTGAGGACATGGTCTACCCCTTCATGTAATATTCTATATCTTAGTGACCACACGATAACTTGTTCTTTTTTGTTATTTTGGTTTTGGGACTCAATTTTTTTTTTTTTTAAACCTTTTCAATTATCATTTTTTTCTCTTTTGGCAGTACTGGGGTTTAAACTCAGAGCTCTGTGCTTGCAGAAAGCAGGCACCCTACTGCTTGAGCCAGGCCTCCTAGCTATCAAATTTTAAGCACATCCAAGGTAGAACAGGATACCAACCTTCATTTATTAATAAATCTGTGGATCTATTTCTGAAATTTCTTATCTTTTTTTATCAGTTTCTATCTCTTCTGGTATCTCCTTAGTTTAACTACTGAAGGTTGAAATTTGGTAGGGTAAATCCTCTAGCCTTGCTCTTTTTAAATTTGAATAGATTCTTTGTATATCCACATGTGTTTTTGAATCACCTAACCAATTTCCCTCAGTAATCCGCTGGAATTTTATTGGCATTGCGCTGACTCTATAATGAATTTAGGAAGAAGTGGTCTCTTAAAATTGAGGCCCACCATCCACTAACATGGACTGTCTCTATTTTTAGCTCTCTTTCAATTTATCTTGGCAATGTTCCATAGATTTCAGTATTTAAATATTCCATATATCTTGTAAAATTTGTTTATAAACAATTAATGTTTTATGCTATGTGGAATGCTAATTTTTCTAAAATTTAATTTTCTATTTCTTGTTACTGTGTAGATATTTGATATATTTTTAAAATATTTGATTGTAGCCACATTGTTAAATTCATATCCTAAATTTAAAAAAAAATGTATATTTTTTCATGTAAACTTATACCACTTGTGAGTCTTTGTAACTATTATTTCTTTTTCTTGACTCACCCCAGCTAAAACCTCCAATACAAAGTTAAGCAAAATGATAGGGTAAGGCTGGGCTCCAGGGGCTTCACCTGTAATCCTAGCCACTTAGGAGGCTGAGATTGGGAGGACTGTGGTTCTAAGCCAGCTGGGCAAAATGTTCATGAGACCCCATCTCAACAGGTAAAAAAAAAAACTGGGCATGGTAGTGAGTGCCTGTCATCCCAGCTATAGTGGGAAGCATAAATAGGAGACTCTCAGTCCAGGATGACATTGTCATAAATTGAGATCCTATCTCAAAAATAACCAACCCAAGAAGGGCTGGCAGTCACCTGTCTAGAAAGCACAAAACCCTGAGTTTAAACCCCAGTACTGCCAAAAAGCAGGGGGAGTAGGTAGAGTAGACACCCTTGTCTTTTTCCTGACTACCTAGGGGAATGTTCATTATTACATCTTGAATATAACATTAGCTGTAAGTTTTTTGTGGACAACTTTTATCCAGTATATAACACATTACTCACAAATTCAGTGTTGTAAAGCACTAATCCTTTTAATTTTGTTTCTGGTTTTGTGGGCCAGGAATTTGGAAGGGGTCCAACTCGGCGGTTATTACTTGAAATCTGTTAATTGATTACAATCAGATGTCACCTGGGATGACAGTTATCAAAAAGCTCAACTGGGCTGAACCTTCAGGGTGGCTGACTTGGGTGGAGGATAGCTCAGTAACAGAGCTCTTGTCTAGCATGTGTGAGGCCCTGGGCTTAAGCCCCCCCAGCACTGAAAAATAAAAGGGCCCCCACTACGGCTAACAATTAATACTGCTTTTGGATGAGAGCACAATCAGGGTGTTGATCTGAGTGCCTAACTGTTACTCCTCAAATAAGGTGCTGTTCGAGTAGTGGCCCTTCTTTCATGGCAAGTGACTTCTCTCAGAGTAAGCATTACAAAGAAGTCAGATGGGTGCGGGTGGCCTTTTTTTTGGTGGAGGGGGGCTGATCCTTAAAAGTCACGTGGTGTTACTTCTGCCAAACTTATTTATTGAATTAGTTACAAGCCTGCTTAGCTTGAAGAAGAGTGGACATAGATCTCTACTTTTCAATGAGAGCAGTACCAGAATAAAACCCCATATCCTTTATTCTTAGTTTTCCAAGTTTCACAAATAGGTGTTGAGTTATATACAACAGTTTTTCTGAATGTATTGAGATGATCATAAGTTTATAGTAAGATGATCTATTCTATAAATGTGGTGGATTACATTGAGTTCAGCCATTTGCATGTCTTCTTTTGAGATATGTCAGTTCAGATCCTTCAAATTAGATTATCTTTTTTCTTGCTGTTTAGTTGTTTGAATTCCTTATGTATTTTGGATATTAACTCCTGATGACAAATATAGATTGCAAATACTTTCTCCCATTTCATAGGCTCTTTCTTCACTCTGTTGATTGTTTCTTTTGGTGGGCAGATGTTTTTCTAGTATGATGCAACCTTAATTTTTCTTTTGTTGCCTGTGAATTTGGAGTAAGGTCTAAAAAATCATTGCTTAGATCAATGTTATGAGGCTTTGTCTCTATATTTTCTTATCATAGCTTTACAGTATCAGGTCATACATTTAGCTCCTTAATCCATTTTGAGTTGATTTTTGGACATGGTATAAAATTTCATTCTTTTGCAAGTTTTCTCAACATCATGTATAACAAAGACTATATTTTCCTGTTGTGTGATTTTAGCACCTTTATCCAAAATCAGTTGAGTATAATGTGTGGATTTATTCTGGGCTCTCTGTTTTAATATAGTAACACACCATTTAGATTACTATGACTTTATTGTATATTCTTGTGTCAGGTAGTGTGATGCTTTATTCTTCTGGTTCAAGATTGCTTTGCTTATTTTAATTCTTTCATAGTTAAATTTGTTCCAATTATTTTTATGCTGTTGTAAATAAGATTTTTTCTTCTCTTTGGATTGTTCATTGTTAATGGGTATAGACACAGCCAACTTTTATTCCTACAGCTTTACTGATTAATTTAAAGGTTTTCACTTGTTGATTCTAACAGTTTTTGATGATGTCTTTAGGAATGTTTTCTACATAAAATCATACTGTATGCAAAGACAATTTTATAGTCTGCATAGGATCATTTTCCTTTAGCTTGAAGAACACCCTTCAATATTTCTGATACAGTGTATCTACTGCTGACAGAATCTCCAGGTTTTGGTAGTCTGAGAATGAATTTTTCACATTAAACTTTAAGGATACTAACACACATAAGATTTTAGGTGGGCAGTTTCCTTTCTACTAACCCTTTAAGTATGCAATTCATTATTTTCTGACTTCCATAATTTCTCTTTGAACAGACCCCCCCCATCTCCTCCAAAGATAAAATGTCTTTATGTCTTTTTGACCCCTGTCTAAATGTGTTTTGATTTGTTTTTTTGGTTTTCCACAGCTTGGATGTGAGGTAACGACCCTTGTTTTTCATTACATTTTGATCTATAAGCTAACTTTCCTTATCCTCTTAGAAAAGTCACAGCCAGTATTTTTTCAAATACAACTTTTGTCATGTTTTCACTCTCCTCTCTTTTTGATATTTTAATCACACATATGCTGGAGGCTATGACGATGTTTCATTGTAGTCATATTTCTATATTGCTCCTGTCCAACTCTTTTTCAAATTTTGACTCTGTTTGGTTATTTTGTTTTGACATATCTTTGGGCACAATAATCTTGTTTGTGCTGTGTCCAACCTGATGTTAAATATCACTCTATATGTAAAGACTTCTCAACTGCAGGTATTACATTTTTACAGCACTCCAAAAGTATATAATATCTGCCCGTCTCTCTATCATGATTTTAACATGGATCAGAGTGTGTTGACCTTCTAATGTTGCTCTTCCCATTGAAATTCTATTTTTTTGTGCATTCACTAATGTTTTTAGCAATCGTTAGGTTCATTGTTAAGAATATTCATTGGGGCTCACAAAATGAAATTTTATCATTTCTTCTTTACTCATTATCTGAAGTTATTTAATGGATTAGAGCTTTCCCACATCAATTATTTGCTTATTTTTACATACAGATCACATAAGAAATGTAGGATAAATTAATTATTGATTTTCTCCTTTTCCCCCCAGGTATTCAAATTAATGTCTTGGTTCTCTAGCCTTCTTCAAAATGATCAACTAGTTACTACTCTGTTTTATTTTGTTTTGTGTTTTAGACTTTTCCTATACATTTACATCTCAGGACTAGAACCAACTATTTGTCTAAAGAGCTCTCATTTTTTTTCTAGTGGGAAGGATTTAGATCCCACCATCTGAATGCTAGGAGTGGCTATTTTTACTAACCTAGCAACATCTGTAGATCTTTCAGTGGACAGAAGTAGAAAGTACTTTTTTATTTTTAAGGGGAAAAACTTGTACTCACAGTGATCTGACAATATATTGGTTTATTTAGATTATTTTCAAACCTCTTGGTCCCTGATGACATAAACATATCACTTGTATACTTAATCCTACAAATTTTTGAAACAATAATACTAATATTACTACAAATAGTATGATAACTGAAAATCATCTGATATTTTGTTAAGATATACTTCGCAGTTTCCAGTTCTTTGGAATTCTCAATTTTACTGCTAAAAATTCTGTGTGTATTTGTCTTATTGTAATTTTGCCAGTGTAACTTTAGAATGTGTTTCTGAAGATGGGACTGTATGGCCAAAAAAACATAGGTTTTGCTAGATGTTGCCATATTGTCTTTGTAGTAATGGTACCATCTTGTATTTTCATTAGCAATTTTGTGTTGAGAGGTAAGGAACAGCCTTTACTTTTGCTTTCTTTATGATGAGTGATGTTGAATAGGAGACATCTGGATTTTTTCAGTGCATCCTCTGTTTACATCTCTATTGTTTTTACAAGATCTTTATGTTAGGAATTCTAATTCTTTATTATGTATTATATTTTCTCCCATTTTGTTATTAAATTTGTTATTTGTTATAAAATACTTTGCTTATAGTATTTTATGCATTTAAATTTTTTACTCACTTGTTAGTTTTCTACGTCTTAAGTTTTGAAAATGTATTTTCTTCTGAAGAACTGATATGTTTTCTCATTAGGAACAATGAGAACCATGTAACTAATTTGTGTCATGTTTTGTTTTGGTAACAAACTTTTTGTATAAGTAATGTGCATGGTTATATAAATCTCTTGTCTTGTACATCTAAAATATCACCTTATTTCATTTCTGTCCTAACGTATATTTATTACAGTCTAGATTAGTCAGCATTTCTCTCTTTCGATTTTACAGCAGCATTTCTTACAAGCCACCACAGATTCTTTGTTCCGTAAATTGTGGGTGGTAATGAAGGAAGGATTCTTCCTTCATTGATCAGTCAGCTAAGGAGCTGGTGTGGTGAAATAGGAGATGGTAGTGGGGTCAGTGTTGAAAATCTGGCTCAGTCCCCCACTTGCTCCATTCCTGGGTCAGTGGCTTCACTCCTATGCACATTTGAATGTCTTTCATTTATAATATGAATGGCTTAACTATATGATTGTGTTGCAGAAGTCTTCTCAATGAAAATTATATGATGCTTAATTATTTAAAATAAAAAGTGATCTGGTTTATTGAAAAACAGAGGGGATGATGGAAGTTCCAGAATTTTTAAAGAGTTACTATATAGAAATCTCTTGAAGAGATTTCTTCAAGGTGAAAACGTTGAAGGACACCTCCCATTAATCATTTCTCAGCTGGTTCAGCACTGTATTTTAAATCATGTTACCATATGATAGCATATACGCATAGAACTTGCACATAGTGACTCATTTACTTATTAGTTACTTTTAGATTTATAATGATGAAGCTGGAAATATAAAAGCCTTGTTTAATTTATGGAGGTATCCAAAACCACTAATAGTTACTTAAATGAAACTTGTCTTCTAAAAGCAGGGGCTTAGATAATTCTACATGACTTACAACTTGTACGCAGGTACAACGTTATTTTTTACTTTTATTTTAGAATGTGGAGGTACACTGACTGACACTTATGGTTCAATCAAGTCTCCGGGGTATCCTGGAAACTACCCCCCAGGAAGAGATTGTGTCTGGCACATTAGAACCAGTGCTGAACTCTTGATAACATTTACTTTTGGGACCCTGAGCCTGGAACACCATGATGGTTGTGGCAAAGATTACTTGGAGGTAAACAATTATGTGTAGATAGAATATGCTATCCTTAGGACTCAGGGCTCTACAGTTTGGTGATGCCCTATGGATAATACCAATTTACTAATTATAATTAGATACATTTCTCAATAGACAGCTAATTTCTAAGTTTTGCTTTATCCCTATTCTCACTTATGCCAGTTTGTTGCTGAATCTTCTGGTTTCCGTTTGAATCTGGAAAACAGACTGCCTTGCCTTCCCTGTCCTTTTCTGGTAGTCTAGGAGTAGCAGAAGTAATTACTATTACATAAACACCAAATATGTGTATCTCCTCCAATGTATTTTCAAATCTTCAGTTGTAAACTAGCATGGTATTTCACAACTTAATTATAGTGTTTCATGAAGAAAAATAAGTTAATAGTGATTGAGTTGAAAGTGGTGAGTCTCACTGGAAAATACTGAAAATAATCATTGGGAGGAAGGGAGTCAATCTGAGTCTCTCTTGCCTCCCATTATTAAAAGATTAAATTTTGGGGGAGGGGGAAAAAGGCTATTGTATTCAAATTCTATAGGCACATAGATACATCAAAAATATGGCTCTCTTTAAAAGAAATGTGGCTCTCCAATTGTGGACTGAAAAGATCATTGAGGAGATTGTTGTTTTGTATTTGTCATTATACATCTCAGTACCCCACAGTAGTGCTAAAAAGGCAATAAGCTTTTCCAAGTCCATTAGAGAAGAGTGGAGTGCTATGGAATTATTTATGAAGGACAGAGGCATGGAGCTGTCAAGCAGGGTCTCCACAAGTTGAAGTCATTAGTAATTCAGTAGCTGTAATACTGAATTTGGAGCCTTTGGGAATGATTATAAGATCTGCCTTTCCTTGGAAAATTTTAGCAAAATAATCTTAAATCTTAACAGTAAAGAGTGAGTTATCCTGAAATTAATATCAATAAATTCCATCAAATTAAAATTAGAGGCTTTTTTTATTCCTATGTATTAATTCCTTGATATCATATAATAGAAGATATCAATTTTTCTGACAATATTGAAATATCACTCATTTCTTATCAAGGAAGCAGTTAAAAACAAAATAATGCTGCTCTATAATTTTGCTGCCAATGGGAAAAGTAATTGGAATAGTTGAAATTAACTATTAAATTAACTAATTAAAATGTTGTTTAGTTTATTGACTCCTTGATGTTCTACATAGTACATATAGACCTTGCAATTTCAACAGAATTGTAGATATATAAACATGATTATTCAGAGGATTAAAAGCCAACAATTAAAAATTTTCTAAGATCATATTGTCATTATTGTGGTACATAGTTAGTATCAAAGTTGCACTTTTTGAATTTGTTAACCCTATTAGGCCATCTTTAGTTTGTGTCTAATTTGACTTTACTCTTTCCCTCCCAACACCTAGAATAAATTGTGAATCAGTTGAGATCATGAGTGGTCCCTTCATCTATTTCATTTGTATATATTCATTTTCTTCTAGATCACTTGGAATTTATCATTTCTCAACAAATATCTAGGGGAAAACCTTAGGAAAGAAAGCACTGAAATTCAAAATCTATCCTTAGCTTTAGAAGTGAAATTTAGATAGTACATAAGACACATGGAATAATGAAATTATACATCCTTCATCAGACCCCAATCGTGCTGATTACGGATATGATAGGGAAACTTCCTAGAGCCATCACTTTTAAATGATAGATTTTCTAAAGTTTATGTTTGGAATGGCATGGTTTGTTAAAACCTGACCACCTTGACCTTAATGATCCAATCTTTGGTTTTAGATTCGAGATGGTCCTTTGCAACAAGATCCTGTTCTTGGGAAATTCTGCACCACTCTTTCTGTCCCACCACTCCAGACCACAGGTCCTACTGCCAGAATTCATTTTCATTCTGACAATGAGATTAGTGACCAAGGCTTCCACATCACCTACCTAACATCGCCTTGTAAGTAACCTTCCAGTTTGAGAGTTTACTGTGCATTTGAAGGGCTTTCATATGTTTATATTTTAAGGTGATTCTGAACATGATTAGCTTTCTTAGACTAATGATATCTCTTTATATAAATATATATATATATATTTCTCCCATAGCTACAGATTCTTCCTTTATCTTCCCAATGCTCCATTATCAATACTACAATATGCCTTAGTCCCTAAATTATGGGTTCTACATTTTAATAGAGATGTATGAGGAACCTAAATTTAAATAATTCAGAACTTCAGTTCCCTAGAGGCATTTGATGTTTTGTTGTGAGAGAGGTCGTTCACGTGAGTGATATAACCTGTCTGTAGACACATCTGACTTTATCCTTGGATCAAGTCCAGCTGCACAGAGCTGGCTTGCAGGATGGCAGTGTCTTGGTCCCTAGAGTTCATTTCTAATAAAATATTGTTAGCTATGATGCCTTTGGTTGCACAGATGCCTTAAAACCAGAAAACAACAAAACAAATGAACTGCTCCATGATTTTTATTTTAGGAATCTAGACAATTTTGTTCATGACAATGATTGTATCCTTAATGAGAATTTATAGGAAAAATACTTCAGTGTCAGGAGAAGGAACAATTAACGTCTTTATTGGTCCCCCTTTTGGTTCAGGCTCACCTGAAGCAACTAACTTCCTGTAATGTGCAGCTCTTTACAAGTATTATCTTATGCTTGTCTACCTTTCTCTGGCCACATATTATTCTGCATTGGTTTTTCCTTTGATCCAAATCATTTATATATTTATATATTTTGTCACTTCTTAAATAAAGTGCCTTAAGTCTTCTTGGAATGAAACAGAATGCTAATGTATTTAAAAAGTATTTTATAGTAGAGAAAGAAAGGTGAATTAGAAGTTCCATCACACATCTCTACATCTATTTCTTTAGGTTCTCAAGGCATGTCCTGTACATGGATCAAACTGAAAATCTTATAATGAGAGGCATAAACTTGTACAGGGTGAATGAAGTGGGTATATGATTGTGTGTGTGTGTGTGTGTGTGTGTCTGTAAATTTTTGAAAACTGGATCCAATGCTTGGGAGCCACAGCAATGGCCATCCTTATGACCTTTCCTTTTCTTCCCCATTCTCCTTAGCGGGTCTGCATTGTGGAGGGAGCTTCGTGGACCCACAGGGTGAGATCTTTCTTCCTGAATTGTCTGGATCTTTGGCTCACAATAGGCAATGCTTCTATGTCATAAAGCAACCAGAGGGAGAGAAAATAGAGATCAACTTCACCCATGTGGAGCTGGAAGGCCAGAGTGACTGTTCTTACAGTTACATTGAGGTAACTTTTACTGCTCAGTCTTCCTTAAGTGTCCATCAACAACTTTACGTCCTTTGGAGTCTTCAAATGGTTGCCAAGCCAGCAGCATTCACATCACTAGAGATCTTGTTAGAAATGCCATTTTATACCTGATCACAGCCCTAGTGAATTAGCACGTGTAGGGCTGGGAGGCCCACCAGATCATGCTGACTCAGATTAAAGCTTAAAACAGCTATTTTACTAGAGAATAGAGAAGAATCTGCCTAAAACAGATCAGAAGATGGGTATGCAAACCAGCAAAACACAAGAAGGAACGCTGAGACTAGAAACTCATAATAGTGCTGAATTACAAGTCATTAATTGAGTTCTCATCACCAAAGTACATGCAAATAAGTAAGGCTAATAGGATTTACTCTTAGGAATGAGATTTCAGAATTTATCTAGGATAATTGTATAATTGAGAGAACTCAACCTAGAGAAGTTAAGGATTTTCTGACATGACCCAATCCATCAGTGACAAAGTTATGTTAAGGAATTGAGTAGTTTTTGTGTTAGAGGTTCCTCTTTTTCCTTCATAAGTCCTGCTTACTGTCCTTCAGGGCACTAACTTTGATTTAAGTATATAAAATGCTTGTTATAGGAGAATATCTAAAACAAAAGCAAGCAGTTTTTATTTGTTGGTCCTGGTATTTCTTTCACTTAAGTATTGGTCAAGCCACAAATTAAAGTGTGGAGCAAGAGAAACAAAACATTTGTGGTTGAGCCCATCATTTCATATAAACTCAGAGAATCATTTACAATTTTGTGTACATATTGAGTTAAGCCAATTTGTTTTTCCAGGAAAAATGTATGTAAACTCCTGACCTATTCCTTAAATTTAGACAGAGGAGACAAAGAACTTTAGCGTAGGATCTGCACTTTATGGACTAAGGACATTGAGCATAAGAGACACATATATACATATATACGGATATATGTATATATACATATATGCACACACATAGACATATGTATATTTTTTATTTATTTTATGTTTTTATTTTTTAACGTTTTTATTGTGCTGGGTGGGGGTACATTGTGGCATTTACAGAAGTTCTTATAATATATCAACTATATCGTATTTGAATGCAACCCCTCCATCATTCTCATTTATCTCCCTCTCCCCATTCCTGGAACAGTTTCAACAGGTCTCACTTTTCCATTTACATCCATGTGTAACCAGTATTTGCACTATATTCACCCTCCTGTGCTCTTTCCCTACATCCTCCCACCTCCTATTGGTACCAATACCTAGGATAGGATCTGTTCTGCCCTTCTGTTCTCTGATTTTGTAAAAGAGAAAAAAAAATGACATTTTTGTTTGTTTAAGATAGCTACACAGGAAGTTTCCTTGTGACATTTCCATATATATATGTATTATAACTTGAATTGGTTCATCTCCTCTATTTTTCTTCTTTCTACCTAAGCCCTCTTTTTATGGTATTTTCAACAAGTTTAAAATTCTATATTCATTCTTGTAAGAGAGTACATCAACCATATTCACCTTCTTAACATCCTTCTTTTACCATCCCCCATATATTTTTACCTAAAATAAAATTTTATTTTAGATAGTGAGGTAAATGGCCAAATTCCTTCAATTTAAGTTTTCTATACTTTCTCATAAAGCACACTAATGTTTTAAATTGTAGAGCAATTTTAAATATTTTTGTGTAAATAAAAATTAAATTTCCAACAAAAATAGTAAAAATAGCTCAAAATTAGAGTGGTTACTATGCACTAGGCACAATTCTAAAACTAGATGAGTGGAATAAATTATGCAGGTAAGGATTCGATTACCTGTTAGGCATAGTAAGTACTTTGTATAAGTTAATTCATTGAATCCTCACAAAAACTATTATCATTCCTATTTTGACCTCAGGAATCTGAGGCTCAGAGAAGTTAAGTTACTTTCGCACAGTTGCATATGCGTGCAGCAAGTGGTAGAGCTGGAATTTCCATTGTTTGATCGTTAATGAGAACAGAAATGCAACAGTCAAACTTTGACTCTTAGATGTTTTATCTTCCCTTGGGAGGGTCTCATGAATTTCCCAATTCCATACCCAGCCCTCTGGCCATAGGGCTAAAATATGAAGCCAGATACAATGGTTTTTGTCACTGAAGTAAGAAGGGAAGTCAGGATAGTGTCTATTAAACTCTTTATGGTGGTTCTAACGGCTCAAAGGAGCTGTCAAAGCATGACACATCCTTTCTGGCTTTGCGGAACACTCCCACTGAATTTCAGTGAGGAGTCACATGAACTTTTCTGAATTGTCCTGGAAAGTCACTGGGAGAAAACTCATAAAACTGGCACTCAGCAGGCATGGTGTGGTGACATCTGCAATCCTAGCACTTGGGAGGTAGAGGCAGGAAGATTACAAGTTTGAGGACAGCATGGGCTACATGGCAACTTCCAGCTAGCCTGTACTATATAGCAAAGTCTTATCTCAAAAACAAAAAGCAAAAAAGCCTGACATTCAAAGATTTATTTTGTAAACAATAATGGCAGAACATTTTGTAGCAGAATAGGATTTAGGTTAACTCATCTATTTTAGTTCCTATTTTAGTTCTGGTGTTAGATGACCTCGGACAATTCTTTATCTGGATACTTCAGCTCCTACTTCAATACAATGCCCCACCTATTCCCCTAGGCTTTGTGAGGTTAACACCAAGGAAATGAATGATAAAAGAATCTTGAAAAATTAAAAATACTATATAAATATAAGGTTTCCCTGGGTCAATTTTGCCACCAGTTCAGAGAGCCAATAAGGCTCTTTCATGGTTGGACATGCAGATATTACATTCTGATGTGGTGTATTGACCAAATTTCTTTCCCTCAAGGGTTTTTAATAGAAACAATAAAAGAACTGTATTATGCAGAAGGACAGGTCTTGGGTAGTGATTTGAACAGTTGAGTAGACTTTTCTGTTATATCCTTGAATAATACAATGAATCAATTTATATAATTTTAGGATCAGCAAGGGTCTCATAGCTGATATAAGATAGTCTAATCTAAATCCTTAGTTTTTCAGATAAGGAACTTGAGGCCCACAAAGGTCAAAAAAAAATCAGCCCAAATAGGACATAGATATACCTGTATAGGAATATCTATACAGGATATATATATATATCTAGGTATATATATATATATATATATATACCTAGATCATAGCTATCATTAATCACTAATTCATCTCTATTCATTGGGGAAAAGTATGAACTAAACTCATTTTTTTTGTGGTACTGGGATTTGAACTCAGGGCTTCGTGCTTGCTATGCAGGTGCTTTACCACTTGAACTATGCCTCTAGCTCTTTTTATTCTAGTTATTTTGAAGATAGGATCTCACTTTTTGGGCCTGTACTGAGATCCTCCTGTTTTAAGCTTCCAGTCATCTCTGTGATGACAGGTGCATGTCACCATGCCCAGGTTTTTTTCCATTGAGATGGAGTCCTATAAACTTTTTTGCCCAGGCTGGCCTAGAACTACAGTCCTCCTGATCTCAGCTTCCTGTGTACCTTGGTTGAGATGGGGTCTCACTAACTTTATGACTGGAGTGGCCTGAAACTGTGATCCTTCCAATCTCAGCCTCCCACATAGTTAGGATTGCAGGTGTGAGCTACTGTTCATAAACTTTTTTTTTGATGTACTTTAGACAGTACTTGTGGAAGAAAGTGATGTAGGAATAAGACTTAAATAGTGTTATTATGATGTCATATATTTTCCATAAAATAATAATTTCATTTTTAAAAACTATAGTTAAAAAGTAAAATGATTAGGCAAAGGAATAAAAGAAAAGATGGTATTTCAGATACTTTGGTGGTTTAGAGAGGCCATGATGTTGATGTTTACTAGCTCAAAGTTTTAGCAAGAGTGAAGATGACACAGAGAATTGTAGAACAATATGGGAGAATGGTAGTCAGAAATTTTCTTCTGAGCATGAATAGATGCATCCTAAGAATCCCAGTTCTCATTGTGTGGCTTGAGGTGTTTTCCTACCATGCAAATTCATCTTTTAGAAAAGACTTTGATTCCATTGCCTAATGTATACCTTTCATCCATACTGTGGTTTTTGAAAGACTTACTTTTTGCTCAGTAAGAGAGACCCTTAAGCATTTGTTTAAGAATAAAATTTAACTACAAAAGATAATGAGTTTGGTGTTGCCCAGACCTAGTGTAGCATATCTTTTTCTTTTCTTTTTTTTTTTTAAAGAAGCACAATTTAGCTTCTTTTCCCTTAGATTTATGTATACCTCTTTCTCAAAATTTCTACTTCCAAAAGCACGTACTGCTCGTGGAGGATGTGATATGAGTACAGAGCAGATGAACTTTCAGCTCATCTGTTTTGTCCAAGAGAGTTTTTAAATTGTATTGAATGGTCAATGCATGGGACAGAAGCATCTTTCCAGAATAAAAAGCAGTACCTCTCATTAATATTTCATAAATGACTTTTGTCATTAGAACTCTGAGTGAAGGGCACATAAGGTAGTAATGAAAGTTTAATTCTTATTCCCAGAAAATGCAAGTTGTAGGCTGAATAATAAATTTAGAAGTCCATATGATTTTAAGGCTGAGGTACGATATGTAGGGAAATTAATAGGCTTATTCATCCTACCAATGTTCTTGACCCATCTGCTGTTTGTCCAACTCAGGGGAACTGCAAATGGAACACCACAGGAGCAAGCTATGGAGGTGGGGGCAGGGCACCATGTCTTCTGGAGAAACAGGAGGGCTTCTGGGGAAGTTGCTTCTTCTTAGCCATGGGAAACATCAAAAATAAACGACACAGAAAAGTTTAAAAATAATAAGCTATAGAGAGATTATTGGTTCTGAAAACCAGGGAATGTGCCTATTCTACATGTAGCATCGAATCACAAATTCATCCTATTTTAGCCTGCTATGACAATCCTAGATAATTAACAAAGTGAACATTGTACCTCTCTTCAGTGTAACACAGTAGGAAATTATTGATAAAAGCATTTAAAA